GTGAATTGGTATGGTTGTATGTCAACGAAGTATGAGTGTTCCCCCCTGTTGTCAGTGATGATGATGACGATGTTGCTGATGATGACTTTGATGATGATGATGATGACGATGATGATGATGACGATGATGGTGATTGTGGCGATGGTGATGATCATGATACGAGTAAATATGTATGCTATTTACTGCAGTACATTGCGACACAAGCGAAGGGGCGGATCACCTACCACATGTGCCGATTCGATAGACTTGTAGATAGCTCCCAAGCCATGGTCCTACCAAAGATTCATTGAAAATGGCTCAGTCCATAGAACGGTTGGGAAACGGTTGTTTTTGAAAATTGTTTTTACATCATGCATACTCGTGCCTCATTGAACACCATATACTACGAGTCTTGTGTATTGTTTGTAAACAGTGTCTAGAATGGATTCCAAAATCGTTGGGCAGTGATAAACGGTCGAAATGCCAGCCTTTTTTCCAAGTTACTGGTTTTAAAATGGAAGCCCTCCGTTTTCAGTGGAGTGATCTGACTAACCAAAAAATCCTTTCTTGACATTTTATATGTCAGACCGGTCAAAGGACAAATGGGAAGAACATTCCACTAAAATGCCCCAAATCGGGATAGTGGGATCCAAAAACCCAATACAAATAAACAGCGCTTTTCCCCTCATCAGTTGTGCGTGTTACTCATTTTCACTAGTCAATAAAAACCTCTGAATAATGTCCAGCATTGAGTTGGTGGGCTACTCGTACTCCGTCTACCTGAAAACTCCATCAATGTACTAACTTGTTCGCTTGGTCTTACGAAGAACCTTTCTGAAACAATAACTTCCCATTACTTTATGGTGATGCGGTGGCACACCAGTTCACTTTGCTAACAAGCTGGCCGTTTTGACGGTGTACTGCTTTGCTGAGTGAACGTAGCCACCTTAAACTGTCTTGGAAGCGTCTGAGTTAATTGTACTTTATCATGGCTTGAACGGATTGTGCAACATTTAACTGAGAGCTCATCCTGTCAGTGAGACCAATCTATGCTGAAAAGCCAGTAAGCAGTGTACAGCTGTTTCATCCTTGTCGGGAAGCATCAGCACCGTGGTTAGTCAGAATAGATTGGCCTCCTCAAGAGGACAAAATCTCAGCTGAACACTCCTCGCCTCAAGCAATCTACAAGTGGCTCGGAGGAAGGATAACTCCACAAGCTGAGTGAAGATTTCGTCTGAGAGCTCGTCACTTGAGGAGCCAGTCAATAGTGATCACGCGATGCATTTCCCGTGATTGGCTGATGAATACCACTATGACCTAAGCAACAGCCAATCACACTGCTGGTTAGCCGAACGGCTGTGTTCAGACTACTATCTGGGAGATCGAGAGGCACTAAACTCGCGCATTGCTGATAAATCCTAACAAGAGTGGAACAGCTGTGCAGCGTCTCTTCGTTTTTCAGGTTATACTGGCGTCACTGACAGGACGAAATTGCAGTGCTCTGGTTCAAAAGTGCATTCCCAATGCAAAAAATTAAACACTGAATCAGAAGAAGGAAATTTTTTCGAGAAAAAAGATCTGTGCATGGGATTTGCACAATCTCGGAACGCTTACATCCTCATCGGTTCTTCCACTAATGGATACAACACCTGGCAATGTGCACTTAACATTTTTCCTGAAGGTTTAACGATACATCCACCCTCTTTGCATACCTCCATGGCCTCGCTTCACATCAGATTAAAAAGGGGTCATTCGTTCCAACGAAGTAAATTCACTATATCCCAGACAATACTAATTGTGTTTAGCTTCAACCGACTTTTTTCGAACAGCCTGAAGCCTGAGAGACAAACATGAACTGTCCCGGAAGGGCGCCAGATTAGGACAACAACTAAATGCACTCATGTTCATTCTGTAAAGTGATAAATTCAAAAACTCAACGAGGGGGCTTAAATAGCCGAATTCAACTGTCGACAATGAAGGAACATACAACTGGGTGGCCTCTATGACTAGAGTCGCTCTTAGCAATAAAATGCCACAGAAGGAAGTGTAATTTCTTCATAAATGTCACGGTTCCACTTCCAGTAGCTAGGGCTTCAGAATCTGGACTTTTCCGAGGGAAACTACAGAGAGAGACCCCCCTGACTGTCGAAACTTTCCTGACCTATTTTACTGATGGAATCGCATAAATGTAGTCCAAGGACATTGGGCGACGGCGGCATATTCAAATATGTGAAGAATCTTTGTCAATTGTTCGACTATTCGGGTAAAGTTCATCCCTGAAAATTGAATACTGTTAGTTGGATATTAGTAAACTACCTGGTTGGTACAAAACTGCCCTTATACAACAGATAGTCGTTTCACGCAGTTACCCTGAAATTTAAAAAGGACACTAATTTTGTTTGCTTAACATACTACTTATAAGATTTTCAGACAATTCACAGTTATACAATGCTTCGTTAGCTGTCGCGCCGAATGGCTTTCAAATTTGAGGCGGTCGGTGCTGGCAAAAAACAAAGATAAACAAACAAACAAAGACAAAACAAAAGCTAGGAACTGAGTGGTGAATGAATACCGATCTACTCGCAAACAATTGGCATACCCTATCCCAGCGAACAGACGAGTTCCCTTGTAATGCACTACTCATAAGATGGCTGAAAATTCGTCGATAGCCGACGACCGGTTTCGCTCAGGTAGGCGCAGTTTTCGTCAACCCTGTGTTCTGCTTGAAACCGAATTGCTCGAAATTAGCGAAACACACTCATTTGCAAACTAATTTGGTTTTGCGAGAGACTCACCTGGAACCCAGCTGAATCCCTCGTTTGTGATGTTTCCAGGCAATTGAATGTGCTGCACCAGGCCAGCTCATATTCCAAGTAAAGCATATGGTTGCCGGTAACTCGGTGACTGTGCCTACCTGATGAGCCCCAAGAAGGGCGAAACCGGTCGTGGGCTGTCGGCGAAGTTTCAGCAGCCTTATGAGTAGTGCAATACGAGTAAACGTGTATCGCGATATCTCGAATATCATCGCAGCGACTGAAACATGAGGCATCCTGGTGCAGCACATTCAGTTGCCTGGACATATCAAAAACGAGAGAGTCCGCTGGGTTCCAGGTGAGTCTCTCGAAAAACCAAACTAGTTTGCAAATGAGTGTATTTCGCTAAGATAAGCTTCCTAGTATATGAGCACTGCAAGAGGGGTTGCACGCCATTCTGAGCCTGTAAACAGAGACTGACTGCTCTTCGTTCCTCTTTCTGCTTGGTTGAACCCTTCCGTTATTTGAACCCACTACCTTCTGCGTCTACCTCATGTATTTCATACCCACCCATAACCCCCCTGAACTTTTGACCCTTAACTTGTCGAACTAATTCTGACGAACATTTCCCGCGCGATTTTTGACCACCTGCGTTACCACTTGCTGTGTGCGCACGTTAGTCGACAACTCACATCGATTTGCTGTCCTCACCGGGCTCTGTCTTGGAATCACACCAATTCGTGCAACAATTAGGCGGAAATCCCCGTAAATCGAGGTTTGTCTCCCCTTCATATACGCACTTTACACGTGTAGAACAAATCTCAAGACTTCACAACTCAACTGGGCCTCCTGAAATACACTGACAAGATTCTGTAAAATCCGAAAAAGAGGGTAAATTAGCCCAAAAAGGCACTTGAAATATGGACATAGTCAAATGAAGTCGGAGAAAAACTTTGTATTGATTTAGGAGAAACTGGGGTCGTGAAAACTGAGGAAAAGGCATAAAAATTTGTCAGGGGGAGATGATCAGAACAAACACAGTACAAGTAACGGTCCTCGAAATCAACGAAACTAGGCTCCGCCACGCTTGTCTTTCACGACGGGCGCACGTAAGCTAAAAGAAATCGAAATGGCGGGGCCAGTGTCCTCGACCGATAACACCAAGAAGACACCTCTACGAGGTTCGCCTTCGAAGAGGGTATAAACCTAACACTTAATTTCAATAAATCAATCAACTAAAGGGTCTCGCCCGAGTAGGGTGAAGCCCTCACTGTTGTGATGCGCTTTTCTTTGTTCTTACTGGCAAAAATGAGGTATTCGATCCAAGATGCGACCGGCTTCTCCGGACTTACGCATGAAAAAACGTTTATAGCACCGTGAACCGATAAATGACCGGCCAAAAGTGAATACTGACGAAAGTGAAGTATACTCAGTTAAAGCGGGGAAATTTCGGAAAAACTAGGGCCGGGGAAAGTTACTGAATATGTCGCCGTCGTTTTAAACTTCAAGGTCGTTGTTGTCAGCTGCGAGTTGATTGGTAAGGAGTTTGTGAGGAGCTCAGGGCTGAGTCTACCTCATGTATTTCATACCCACCCATAACCCCCCTGAACTTTTGACCCTTAACTTGTCGAACTAATTCTGACGAACATTTCCCGCGCGATTTTTGACCACCTGCGTTACCACTTGCTGTGTGCGCACGTTAGTCGACAACTCACATCGATTTGCTGTCCTCACCGGGCTCTGTCTTGGAATCACACCAATTCGTGCAACAATTAGGCGGAAATCCCCGAAAATCGAGGTTTGTCTCCCCTTCATATACGCATTTTACACGTGTAGAACAAATCTCAAGACTTCACAACTCAACTGGGCCTCCTGAAATACACTGACAAGATTCTGTAAAATCCGAAAAAGAGGGTAAATTAGCCCAAAAAGGCACTTGAAATATGGACATAGTCAAATGAAGTCGGAGAAAAACTTTGTATTGATTTAGGAGAAACTGGGGTCGTGAAAACTGAGGAAAAGGCATAAAAATTTGTCAGGGGGAGATGATCAGAACAAACACAGTACAAGTAACGGTCCTCGAAATCAACGAAACTAGGCTCCGCCACGCTTGTCTTTCACGACGGGCGCACGTAAGCTAAAAGAAATCGAAATATCCGAGCCAGTACCCTCAACCGTATTACACCAAGAAGACACCTCCACGAGATTCGCCTTTGAAGAGGGTATAAACCGAACACTTAATTTCAATAAATCGATCAACCAAAGGGTCTCGCCCTAGTAGGGTGAAGCCCTCACTGTTGTGATGCGCTTTTCTTTGTTCTTACTGGCAAAAATGAGGTATTCGATCCAAGATGCGACCGGCTTCTCCGGACTTACGCATGAAAAAACGTTTATAGCACAGTGAACCGATAAATGACCGGCCAAAAGTGAATACTGACGAAAGTGAAGTATACTCAGTTAAAGCGGGGAAATTTCGGAAAAACTAGGGCCGGGGAAAGTTACTGAATATGTCGCCGTCGTTTTAAACTTCAAGGTCGTTGTTGTCAGCTGCGAGTTGATTGGTAAGGAGTTTGTGAGGAGCTCAGGGCTGACAATTTCCAAATATGGGAGTGAACAATTTCGCAGTGGCTCATCCCTCTTCAGCATAGCTTGTCTTTGCTTGTTGGGTGAACTCGTACATAAAAGTGTCCATCTATAAAGTTGTGCAAGGCAATAGTCTATTTGCTTCTCTAGATCACCTTCGAAACGGCGGGCTTTTAACTACAGTCTTCAGTTGATATCAATATGAGTTGTTTTTCCTATGTTTACGGGATTTTTGTGTCTTGGTTAGCTGCGGTGCTGCTTGTTGAAATTTCTGCTCGAGCAGATTCGCTGGCAATCAAGGCTCGGTCTGCGGCCCATCAATGTAGCTCGGGGGTGCGTTTATTGGTTATCGATCAGATGGACGTTGTCCCTTTCACTGACCTTGACAACTGATATAACTGGCCAATAATATTACGGGAAAGAGATACTCTTCAGAAGCTATATAAACGCAGCTAGGTAAGAAGAAAGTACCCACTCAGATGCACGCTGACGATGTTTACTTCACTGGGTACGAGGCGTTTTCAAACCATCTGCCAAGCATGGCAAACAGACCAGCGGCCATTGAATCAATCACTAGACTACGGCTCATTCTTGTACTAGTGGACACATTCACTTGCTTTTTGGACGGTCCATACTTGGAATACCGAACTGGCAATCAGACAAATCCAGCTGCAGGGGGAATAGCGTCTTGGATATCGCGTCCTCATGTTCTGGCGAATATGAGTGTCCCAAACAGAATAGATTTAAGAGGAGCAGGTCCTCCTAAGATTGTAGTAACATTCCATTCTGTGGCTATTTATTCGGTGCCCTCTTGAAAAGATGTAGCCGCCCGAGGAAACCCAAATGCCTATTCGTTTATGGGATAGTTCTGGACTATTCATACGTAGATATAAGATCCCCAATTCAACCAACTGGCTGTCATATTCCACCCGTGACCATGAGTGAGGAGAACTTAGTTACTGAGCAGCAAGGCCGCGGAAGCGTGTTTGCTTCTTCGGATACTGTTAGGCAGAAGTCCGCACGGATCCCTTTTTACTGCTCGCACTAATGTGCTGCTACGGCCGAGAAGCCCATTCCACGCAAGATTGGTCAAAAGTTCGGGACGCTTGCCGGTCCGGCATCAAGGCGAGATCTGATTGGTCGAAAGTCTGAACCCAACAGCCAATCATGACCCAGTATTGGCCGAATG